TGGGAGGGTCCTCATGCTGCGAATGGTTCTCCAGCGCTTTGGCCTACCTTCATCCCCAGCAGGAGAAGGGGGATTGTGTTGGAGGTGTTGCTGTGAGAAACCCAACGCCCCACTAAAGACTCTTGCAAAATCAGAAGGCCAAAATTATTTGCTGCTTAGTCGAGAGCCTGGCACATAGCTGTAGATCGGTTGAATGTTTTTACAGTCTTGGTGATTATTATATTTATCTTAATTATGGTCGTTAAGTCTTGAGAGGTTTTTTTTTTTTTTTTTTTTTTTGCCGAACACTCGTATTAGTCATTTAATCATCGCAGCCATGCTAATATGCAGTATGACGGCACTTACTTTACAGATGAGAAAACCATAACCTAGAGGCATTAAAGTGGTTTTCCCGAAGCCGGGTGGTTAGGAGGTGGTGGAGCTGGGTGTTCATGCTTTGTCTTAATGCATCCTTTGGGCAGACTCCACAGAGCTTGGATGGTGGATGGGTGGGTCCGTGGGTGGGTGGCAGTTACATATCCACGTATAGGAAAGAATTGGAACAACCTGTTACTTCTGCTAGAATTGGAGATGGTTCCCTAGTTGTGTCAGTCATGTTACGGTGTATTAATTATGTCCATACATGTATAAATATGACGTTGTATGTCAGAAATCATCCTTCAGGGGCGCCTGGGTGGCTCAGTCGGTTAAGCGTCTGCCTTCAGCTCAGGTTGTGATCCCAGGGTCCCGGGATTGAGGCCCACATCGGGCTCCCTGTTCAGCAGAGACCCTCTTCCTTCTCCCTCTGCTGCTCCCCTGCTTGTGCACGCTCTCTCTCTCTCTCTGTGAAATAAATAAATAAAATCTTAAAAAAAAAAAAAAAGAAATCATTCTTCATTTTAGCCATCAGGCCTAGTGGGAGCTGGGAGTTAGTAATGTAAGTGGAAAGGGTGTAAATACTTTCTTGCAGGTCTTAGCATCCACCAGGGGTGATGATGGCCAAGTCTCTTGATTTCGGGGCCCATGATCTTGCTCAAAGGTGGGGAAACACTGCTTGTAATCAGAAAATCCTCTATAATAAGGCCCTTTCTGTTTCCCTAGTGCTCCATCTCCCCGGGGCTTCTCT